ACTCCCGTAAAGATTTACACCCTCGGAAACCCTGTACAGGGTCGCTATGGGTCGGACCCGACTCGATGGCACTTAACAACAACAACAACAACAATTATTATAACAAAGGAAACCCATTCCCAAATGGGATTATAACCACAGATATGTTGTTGTTAAGTGGCCTCCGTTCCGATTTATAGCAACCCTAGATAAGGTTTCCGAGGAGTGGCTGGTGAATTTGAACTGCCAGCCTTGTGGTTCAAACTGGCTTTGCAGACCAGTTCATTAATCCACAGTGCCATACCACAGGTATTGTTGTAGTTGTTAGGTGCCATCAAGTCGGTACCGACTCATAGCGAACCTATGCGCAACACAACGAGACACTGCTCAGTCCCGGGCCAACCTGAGCATAAGCCCATTGCTCCTGCCACTGTGCCAGTCCATCTCATTGGTGGTCATCCTCTTTTTCTCAGACTCTCCACTTTACCAAGCATGATGTTCCTCTCCAGTGACTGGTCCCCCTTGACAACATGTCCAAAACATGTGAGATGAAGTCTGACCATCCTGGCTTCTAAGGAGCATTCTGGCTGTACTTCTTCCAACAGAGATCTATTTACTCTTTGGGCAGTCTGTGGTAGTTTCAATATTCTCCTCCAACACCATAATTCAAATGCATCGATTCTTCTATGGTCTTCCTTATTCACTATTGAACTTTCACATGCATATGAGGTTATTGAGAATACCATGGCTTGGGTCAGTTGTACCTTAGTCCTCAAACTGACATCTTTGCTCAACACTTTAAAGAGGTCTTATGCCGCAGATTTATTCAATGAATACATCACTTGATTTCTTGACTGCTGCTTCCATGAGTGTTGATGGTTGATTGGAGTAAAATAAAGTCTTTGACAACTTCAATCTTTTCTCCATTTATATACCCCACAGGTATAGGGGTTAGGGTTTACAGCATATATTTGGGGGGAACTCAATTTAATCTGTAATAGATAGAGATTTATGAAGAACAGTGTATAGAACTTGGTGAGTAGCTACTTTAGGAAGAACACTATTTTGTTGTTGTTGTTAAGTGCCGTTGAGTTGATTCTGACCCATAGCGACCCTGTATAGGGTTTCCAAGGAGCAGCTGGTGAGCTTGAACCACTGACCTTGCAGTTCAAACAGCTTTGCAGTCTGGCGCATTAACCCACAGCGCCACACCTTTAGGCAGTATTAAAGAGCAATGGCCTGGGACTGGAGGTCTACCAAAATTGGGTGACTGTGAACTAATGACCTCACCACTTTTTGCCTCAGTTTTCTCATCTGCAGAATGGGGCTGTTGTAAAGAGCCAGTGAATTTGTGCAAGCCAGTACTGAGCAGAGTGAAACGAGCAGAAGTTACTACCCCATCATTGTTATTGAGGCCACCCTGATTCCTGATCCAGAGTACCCCCCCACCTTCTCTCTTCTACTGACTAAGAAGTCTTAGTGGCACTATAAGATAAGCACCTTGCGGTTAGCAGTTCAAACCCAGCAGCAGCTCCACAATAGAAAGATGAGACTTTCTGCTTCCATGGAAATGTACAGCCTTGGAAACACACAAGATCAGAACTGATGCCGGGGCAATGGGTTTCGTTTGGGTTTTTGGTTTCCTTTATAAAGGCACTCTGGTAGCACGGTGGTTAAAGTTCTCAGCTACTAACCAAAACGTTGCCAGTTGGAACCTCACCCACCACTCC